GTGAACTGTGTGTGGACTTGGTGTGGACTATGGGCAGACTATGTGTGGACTGTATGTAGACTGTGTGTGGACTGTGTGTGAACTGTGTGTGGACTGAGTGTGGACTGTATGTAGACTGTGTGCAGACTGTGTGTGGACTGTGTGTGGACTGTGTGTGGACTGTGTGTGGACTTGGTGTGGACTATGGGCAGACTATGTGTGGACTGTATGTAGACTGTGTGCAGACTGTGTGTGGACTGTGTGTGGACTGTGTGTGGACTGTGTGTGGACTAACTACAAAGAAGGAAGGGGCCTTGGGAAGCTGTGGAACTGTCCACCCTTGAGGAAGATGATGTTTAGGATAGTGATTGTTCTAACACTCAGAAACTCTCATTAACTGAGTTTTACTATATTAAATTAGATATTAGTAGAAAATTGGAGCGAGATGATGGTGCAAGCCTGTAATCCCAGAACTCAAGAGGATGAGGCAGGAGGATTTCAAGCTTAAAGTCAGCCTGGGCTATAGAGTGAGAGCCTAAAATCCTAAGACCTGAGGATGTACAAGGCCCCAGGTTCAGACTTCAGCACCACAGGAAGTTGAGAACAGCTGGGAGAAAGGAACATACATAATTTTTATGTACTGGTGATTTGCAAGAATGGAAATCCTGAAGTATCTTCCGTTATGGGGCTTGCTTTCTCACCCAGCCACATTGCGTCAGTGTTGTATTGCTGCTGCAGTTTATGTCTCGATTTACCGTGCTTTTGTATAATAATAACAAATGTGTGCAACCAGGGCTGGTGAGATGGCTCAGTGGTTAAAGGTGTCTGAGGCTAAGCCTGAAACCTGAGGTCGATCCCCAGAATCTGCATAGTAGAGGGAGAGAACCTATGACCACAAGTTATCCTCTGCCCTTCACACATGCATCATGGCATGCGCGTGTGTGTGTGTGTGTGTGTGTGTGTGTGTGTGTGTGTGTGTGTGTGTGGACTGTGTGGGCAGACACACACTACAATAAAAATTAATTAAAATGTGCCTATTCCAATGACAGAAACAATTCTGGCTGCTCTCAGTGTGCCTTTTACTTACCAGCACGGGAGTGCTTTGTGCAGTGTGTGTGTTGTCTGCTATTCATGTTATAATTTTCATCAGTCATCACTAATTTGACTTTATGGGTCATCTGACTATTGGCATGTCCCATGATGTAGTATATATCTTTTACTTAGAAGATGATCAACTTTATGGTTTCCATACCGTAGACCAGGAAGCACCAGTCTGGGCTCTTTTTTTTAAGGTCATGGTACCTTATCATGGGATCACCCCTACCTTCTTTGTGTCCTTCCATGTTGCTCTCGTTAATCTAGTCTTACATCACTGCAGTTCAACTTCCCTTGGATAAGTAGCAGCACTTACCTCACAGCTTGATGTACAACACGCTCCAGATCCACATTTGGCGGAGGCTTTCAGTCTGCATGTTTCATAGTGGCAGCACTCTTTAAATAGGCATTCCTGCAGTTTCAGAAGAAAGAGGATTCCAGTTAGGGTAGACGCCCCAGCTCTCCTCCCCATCCTCCCTTTCCCCTTCGTTTCTGAGACTTGCTATCATATAGCCAAGATTGCTCTACTGTACAGCGGAGGGTGCCAGTGACCCCCTCACTTTCTGGCTCTGACCTCCCAAGGGCTGGGATTTTAGGAAAGCACCACCACTCACAACTTAATAATGCTTGCTTTTTTAATCTCAACTTTAATTCGCATGCTGTGCTCCTAATTATGTTCAATGAAGCTTCACTATCTTCAGCTTTTATTATTTCTAGAATTACCAAAAGTATATGTAACTGTAAGAACTAAGGAAACAGCATTTAACTTAGTTGTTCATCTATAACATGAAAATTTGGGCAATTGACTCAGAATTTACTAATATAAAATGAATTTTTTTTTTTGTGGGGGGAGAAGTGTGACTTTCCAGGAGAAACACAAACTTCCTTCAGTTCTCTTATTAATGATTTGTTTGCTACACATTTCTATTGAGAATGAATCTAAACTTTAGGAAGGGCAACCAAGACACATTAAGTATTTATTCATGGACCTTTTCCCCCTAATACTGTTAGTAGTGGCCTGTCTGTTTATGACATAAAACACCTACATTTGTTCACAAAGTAACAGAATATAGAGTCTGTATACTAAGGCGGTGTTTGGAGGCTTCTGATGCCATAGTTGTTTGCGTTGACTTCATACACAAGATTTCTATGATATTGTTATTTTTCACATAGTTCAAATGACCCCCATATTTCTTATCTCTCCATCTAAGACATATCAGTCTCTCTTAATTTCTGCCCTGATAATTTCAGGTCTTTCTGTTTGGCCTTTACTATTTGGAAGGCTCTTACTGCACACAAGATTGGGGACCAGTATGGGGGAGTCTGTCAGCCTCAGAGCGGGGCCATCTCAGGAGGTCACAAAACACTGAAAATATCAGTTGTCGATTTTGTCTATAGACTTGGTTGGCCACTGGGGGCGCCAGTAGACACAGCTGGATGATGGGCAGTAAGGCGCTGAAGGAGCAAGCTGTCTCAACCTGCTTCCGCTCACTTAACAGATGACTTGGCTCAGACCTTTGAGTCTCATGGGCTCACATCCGGGGGGCAGCCATGCCGCAATCTTTACTGGAGACTGCAGGGGAGAATCTTCTAGAGCCATTGGGAGTTGGCCAGATTCAGTTCCTCATGGCTGTGCAGTTGGATTTCCGCTTTTTTTGTTAGCTATCAGGTATTTTCTCCTAGAAATTACTTGGATTCTTTCTTATAATTGCCTTGTAACTCCCTGACAATGTCATATTGTGTCCTCATCATTCTTCATGTCCTTTTGAGTCCCCTTCTGACACATTTCTGACTTCTGCTGGATAACTGTTCTCTGATTTTAAGGACTCCCGTGGTTAGGTTGAGCCTACCCAGAAAACGTAGGATGGTGTCTTTTCCACAGGTTCGGAATATTATTTATTTTTTATTTCTGCAATGTGTCTTTCTTTAAATAATATACATAGCCACAAAGTTCAGGACTTGGAGACATATATGAAGGTCCATCTTTCCTTTTACCAAAACACTGGTCTGAAGCATGGATTCCAAGTCAGGAAAGGGGCCTATGCAGCAGGCCAATGGCCATTTGTTCTTCCTACAAGTTAAGTTATGGTACAAAGAGCCTCCGAGGTAATCCAGACTCAGAAGTCTCTGTGGGACCAAAGTGAAAGCATCAGCCGGTGTGTTGGCTACATGGTCTCCATTGTGACTCTTTAATTCTTCGATCACATAAAAGCACCTACAGACAATACACCCACAAATGGGCATATGCATTCCCCAATAAAAATCCACTTGAAAAAATTTAGGTGGCAGCTGCTGTTAGCCCTACTGTCCACACTCTGTAGAAGACGGGTGTTGAATAGTTTACAGAGAATTTTCTTATGAGGAACAAGGCTCTAAGTCTTTTGTTTAGTTTTGAGATTGTGTTTTACTGCATTTCCTCACTTCCTTCCTTCCCTCCAAAGCCTCCCATAGACCACTCTTCCCTCTCCTTCAGATTCACGGCCCCTTTTTTCATCAATTGTTATTGCATGCATATATGTACTTATATATACATACATATTACCTGTTATATATTACATACATATACATACATTTTACATATTACATACATATATGAGTATAACCAGTTGAGTCGATATATCATTACTTTTGTGTATGTTTTCAGGGCTGACTGTTTGGCTCTGGAAAACAGATTGGTATGTTTTGTCCTTGGGAGGGCCACCTCTCTCCATCCCATCTTTCCTCGGTTTCCTACAGTTCTTTGTGTAGAGCTGAGGCCTCGTGGGCTTTCCCCCATTCAATCTGGCATGTTCCTCAGTGTCAGACTTGTTCAGCTCATGTTTGGTCAGTCCTGTTGGTGAAGCTTTCCAGGTGTGGCTTCTGATGTTACTAGGAGACACAATCTCACACGAAACTTCCGGATGCTTTGGCTCTGACAGTGTTTCTTTTTCCTCTTCTGTAGTGTTCCCTGAGCCTTAGGTGTAGGAGCGTTTTACAGATGTGTACATTGGTACTGGGCTCCACAACCCTCCATATTGACTGGTTGTGGTTTTCTGTAATGGTCTCTGTCTGTTGCAGAGATAAGTTTCCTTGATGAAACTTATCTCTGGTGGTGAAGACTACACTCGTTGGTGGGTTTAGGACAAATGTTTATAGGTTGTTGTTTGGGATTACACTGCTTTAGTAAATTAGTGGTTGTAGATTCTCCTCTAATAACCATGGTTTCCCTAGCACCATGAGTTGGCTGGGTTTCCAGCACCATGCATGGTCTCCCTCTTGTTGAGTGGATCTGAAGTCCAATTAGGGTGCCATTGGTTACCACCAAGGTATGTGTGCCACGACTGCACCCACAGGGTTGTTGTGCCCTGTTGGTCATTGCTTTGCTTCATAGGCATCATAGCTGGGTAGGGCTGTTGGTTGTCTCCCTGCTTTGGAAGCTGGCTTAGAACCTTATGGTACCATGAAAGCTAGTCTTCAGGGAGGGGGTATTTAGGCCAGTTCCAGCTCAGGGGCCCCTGAGTCCTATTTCTGAAGTGTATGATGTCTTCATCAATAGGGACAATCTTCATCATCATGGAGGTAACCAAAGGCAATAGCAATAGGCTGTATGTTTTGAGAGTCTCTTAGACAGCCCCGGCCAACAGCTCAAGAGGGCTTTTCAGGTCTGCTATTGGGGTTTTTGTTAGGTGGTCTTTGGCTTCTGGAGAGAGCTCTGTCAGCCAAAATGAGGAAAGTTTATTAAAACTATATATGCATATTTGTACATTGAATTACATGTACTATAGGTTGAGGTGTTTTGTTGCTGTTATTGTTATTGCTTTTGGGAGTAAATAATTAGGGGTATGATTCCTTGTGGCCTTTTCAGCCATTCACAATGTTATTTTACTTCCTTCCCTCCTCCTTCTAGGTAGCTCCATCTTGGATCTAAGTCTTTTATCTACAAGCTGATCACCATGACCCTGAGGGCCGATCAATAGTTTCCAGTGCCACCAAGCCCACTCTGGTGAGGTCTGTAAATACCGCTCCAGCTCAGGAGCCACCATAGCAGCAAACTTTTGGTACAAGGAGTAAAAATATTCTTCAGCAGCAAACATGGGGGACATGCTAATGGAGAGGTGACAGCGTCTTCTGTACATCTCAGTCAGCACAAAGCCTGATGACAGGTGATTGCAAGCCCAGTACTCCAGGCAGAGGGCCATGAGACCAATGAGGGGCTATACGCTAAAACCCCACATCAAAATAAAAGTCTGTACTTCTAGACACTCACATAGTAGCCAAAGACTGCACTGTTTCCTTCTTTCGTTAAAAGTAACAAGCATTTTCTTTTGTCAGGGAGATGGTACCACATTTAGTAGCAGGAAAATGCAAGAAGACCACAGTGTTGCATACCAGGGAAGTCAAATAGGTTTAGGAAATCCGTGTAACTAGAAACCACCCAGGAATACACATACAGATTCATAGACATGGGTTTCTTTTTTTGTTTTTTGTTTTGGTTTGTTTTGTTTTGTTTTTAGAGTAGAAGATGATTGGATTTTTAGGGGTGTAATGGTATATAAAAATGGAGGTCAGCTTTATTAATGGGGAAATAAGATGCAATTCCTGGCAGGGAAATCATGAAGATACTTTATATTGCTTAAAGGGAGGAGAGTTGTTAAATATCATAGATCATCACATTTAAATAGACTAAATATGGGGGCTCCACTAGAGCAATGCAGTGTGCACAGGAAGCTTGGCTGATGGGATTATAATAAAGGACACCATTGAGTTTGGAAATATATATACATATATATATATTGGTTTTTCCAGACAGGATTTCTCTGTGTAAACCCTGGCTGATCTGGACTCACTCTGTAGACCAGGCTGGCCTCCAACCCACTGAGATCCACCTGCCTCTGCCTCCTGAGTGCTGGAATTAAAGGCGAGCGCCACCACCACTCAACTACAAATAATTTTTAAAGACACCCAAAAGCTTGTGGTTGTAGAGATGTTTGTCATTGATACAAGACAACATATTATAATATTTAGAGACTTTGGCCATCATGAGGACCCAGAGAAAAAAATTGGATCAAATTTAGTACACATTTCAGTAGACAACAGAGGTTGGGGTTGGAGAAGTTTGAAATTGAGATAGTGACCAATAAAAAGGACTTCATACATTCATTCTGCACATTCAAAATATACATCAGACTGGCAGGTGGAACAAGAGCGATGCAGCCAGGCCCGAAGCCCACCCTTGTCTTCTCAACTCAAGAGATGCCTCCCATCTTTGTTACCCTGACACTTGGAAGACTGAGGTAGACAGGTCGACAGTTCAAGGTCATCCTGAGCTACACAAAACCCTGTCTTACAAAAGAAAATCACAGTAAAGAGACGTGGGAAAGCAATTCACTTATGTTCATGCTCATGTATCGTTTATATGGTAGAGATGTCATAACACACACCCAACATATACTATGACAGCATGCTTTGTGCTCTTGGATGAGAACAACTGTGGTCAAACATGAATGTCTAAAACTCACTGTGTCATTACCACAGTCACATTCTTCATCAGCTTCCACAATTCCGTCACCACACACGGGCTGATTTTGTTGTAATACTTGTTCATTTGAAAGGTCACTAAGACATTTCGCAACCAATTCTGAAGCATAATGCTTGTAGTCATGCATGCTGCAGTTGCTAAAAGTCTTCATCCCACTGGAACTCCTGAAGCAAAATAATATTCTCTGATAAATAAACCCAGCTACTAAAACACATCTAGACAATGCTCCATGGGTAAATTATATGATCCACAAGATGGAGCAAGTAAAAATACATACTTCAGCAGAGGTTAAATGTTGTGGAATAAGATATGTCACTGTGATTGGTTTAAGAAAAAGCTGAGCGGCCAATGCCTAGGCAGGATTTCTAGGCACAGAGGATGCTGAGAAGAAGGGCAGAGAAGCCAGCCAGACACAGAACAAGTCAGACACACAAAATGAGACAGAGGTAAAAGCCACATGGTAGAACATAGATTAATAAAAAATATGAGTTATTAAAGTTATAAGAGCTAGTTAGAAACAAGCCTAAGCTATCATACTTAATAAGAAGTCTCCATGTGGTTATTTGGGAGCTGGCTGGTGGGACAGAAAAAGTCCGATTACAGTTCAATCAAACATAATTAAACTTGAGTTTTATATTGCTCCATTTTAATATAATCCATAGCACCACATTTCTTACAAATGGCTATGACTGTACTGTACAATGAAGTTGAACCCTGTGATCATGATCAGTCCTAAAATAAGCCAGGAGTTCTGTTTATGCAGCAGAGATTCCATTCTCTACAGTTTATGCTGTCTTATATTCAGTGCCATCTTTCTTTTTGTTCTGTCCATTTGTAGACAGCGCACAGTGCTTCACACCTGTAAACCTCTCCGTTGACCACACATTCCAGCTCCCAGGGCTCAATACATTGTTTCCATATCCCATGTCTTCTTTATCATTTTACATAGAACTCATCAAATTCCTTTAAAACTATTTTTAAAAATTTATTTAGATTAAATTTTCATTGGCCAGAAAATTATAATGTTATAAGTCATCTAATTTGATAACTAACATACTCTTGAGTTTCTTCTAGATTTGCTTACTCTAATTTTGTTTTTTACATTTCTATTTATTATCCTAATTGTAGAGTGTTTCTGTTGAGTTTTCTAAATAAGGAATTAATGACACTTCCTCCTTCAAGTCTTCCCTCCTTTTTCTTTACACCAAAGTAGTAACCAAAGCAGCCAGTCCTAGACTGCATTTTTAAGGGTGTCATTAGGCAACAAAGTAGCAACAGTGTCATGTGCTTAGCTAACACCTCACAGTTTCCCTCAATATTAAATTGTATCTATCTAATTTCCTCCAATGAAAACACCTTAATAATAACATATAGCACTTTTCCAGACTCATACATCACATGGAAAATACTTTATATGCTATCTTATCAAGCATAATACAACTTAAAAAATACTTCAATGTTCATTAAATCATGAAATTAATATTGGAATAACATGTAAAATTAATTATGACTTGGGACTGGAGAAATGGCTAAGCAGTTATAAGCAGAGGACCTGGGTTCAATTCCTAGTATCCACATTGTAGTTCACAACTGTAATGTCTGTTCTAGGGGATCTTAGTTTTGACGCTCTCTTCTGTCCTTAGTGGACACCAAGCAGGCACATGGCATAAAGACACACATACAGGTAAAACACACATAAATAAAATAAATAAGTCTAATAGAGAATTTAAAAATAAAAATCATCATAAAAATTCTTACAGTGCTCCCTGTTGCATTATGCATGGAGCTCTGGGACAGGAACAATTATTGACATCATCGTATGATAATCCTATGTGAAGGCCAATCATTTGAGTGATAACCACTGAGAATCCCTCCAAACCTATGTCTTCTGGATACTAAAATAGAGAAGATTGAAGAGAAAAATATTATATCAGAATAAAAGAAAGGCAAGTGATAAATGTCTTTGCAGTCATAAAATGTTATACTCTAATTCTTTTTATATTCAGCATACTTTGTAATAATTTACTTTGCTATGCATATCTATGCTAATTGGCCATTTTAATTTAGCTGCATGTTTTTATTTCTACATTCATTAAAATAAAGTGATTTTAAAAAGCCACATAAAACTACACATATTGTAGACATGTGTGTAACTAAAAGCAGGAAAATTCTATCAGAATGAAAAACAATAGTGAGTACATATGCTTCCCTAATGTCTGTGGTATCTAAGTTTAGAATCCCCAGTGCTGACATTTGAAGGTTAAAGCCAGAACATGGCATGGGTAATGACACCCAATTTGGGAACATCAAATTTTGAGATACAATATAGAATTTAGAGTCTTAATGCCCAGTAACACAGGAGCCATGGTATTCTTCTTTTATAAATGTCTAACTGATAAAAAATTGTTGGCTAAAGTCATGAAGATGAAGAGATTCCTCAAAATAAAACAACTTTCAAGTTAAACTATTCAAAATAATTTCAGTCACAAAGCCATCGCTGTAAGTTATGCAGATTTAATAAGTGCCAAAACACATCCTACTCCAAGGTCTAGCTTATTATCAACCATGGAGACTGAAATACTAATAAAAAAAGCCTTCCAACTAAAATAACCCCAGGGCCAGATGGATTTACAATGAAAGTCTAGCCGACTTTCAAAGAAATTATTCAAAAGAGTAGACATAGAAGGAACACTCCAAAACTCACTCTATGAAGCCAGTACCACACCAATACCCAGACCAGGAAAAGACACAAGCAAAGAAAACTATTCTGATACCTCCAATGAACATAGAATACTCAACAACATACTTGCAAACAGAATACAGACATACATCAAAAAGATTATTCACTATGATCAAGTTAGTTTTATCTCCAAAATGCAGGGATAGTTTGATATATGCAAGACAACAAATGTAATTAATCACATGATAGATTTGAAGACAAAAATCACATGATTATCTCAATAGATGCAGAAAAGGCCTTTGACAAAAATCCAACACTGCTTCATGATAAAAATCCTAGAGAATAGAATATAAGACTAGAGGGAGCATACTTCAACATGATAGAAGCTATATATGAGCAAGCCATAGCCAACATCATCCTAAATGGAGAAAAATTTGAAACAATCTTACTAAAGTCAGGAATGAGACAAGGCAGTCCTCTGTCACCTCTCCTTTTCAGCATGGTGCTTAAAGCGCTAGCTGGAGTAATAAGGCAAGAGAAGGAAATTAATGGAATATGAATAGGAAAAGAAGAAATCAAACTACTCCTATCTGCAAATTATATCATTACAATATACATTACATTGCACATTATAATAATATATATTATATTATTCATAAGAAACTAAAAATTCTACCAAGAAACTTTTAGAAATGATGAATAAATTCAGCAGTGTGGCAAGATACAGAACTACCTTGAGAAATTAATTGCTTGTCTATACAACACCCACACTATACAGAGAAAGAGGTCATAAATGCAATCACATTCATAATATCCCAAAAGAAAGAACATATTAAGGACTAGGCTTAAACAAGGAAGTGAAGGACTTCTACAACAAAAACTTCAAACCACTGAAGAAAGAGATAAAGACACCAGAAAATGGAAAGGCATACCATTGCTGATGGGTTGACAGAATATGGTGAAAATGACCATTTCACCCAAAGCCATTTACAGAATCAATGCAATACCAATATAAATCTCCATCTCATTTTCACAGAAATAGAAAAATCAACCCTAAAATTCATAGGGAGCCACAAAAGACCCCACATAACCCCAAACAATCCTGAATAAAACTAGCAATGAAGAGGCATTACCATTTCAGATCTCAAGACTTATTACAGAGCCATAGTAACAAAAACAACAGGGTCTAGCTTCTGAAATGATTGTTTCTGTCTCTTGCACAGTATGCATGCAACATGACCTAATGATTCAGAAGCTAAGTCTATCTACAATCTGCTGCTTTAATGAAAAATATGCATCATGCAATGAGCTAAAATGGAATTTCAGCTAAAGGGGCTCAACTTTCACTTATTTTTTACATTGTAAATAATTGCATCATCAGGCTGCTAAGTCTTCCTTTGATCAGGGTTTCCAATGAATCACTCTTAAGTATATATTTAAAATGTTCTTTATCTGCATAAATCTATGTGACTGTCTAAAATGTCTGTACTGGTCCTTTGAAAGAATAAATAAGTGAATGTTTTGCCTTTTTAAAAAAACAAATTTGGAAAACCAAACAAATGAATATAAAGAGAATCAGATTAGGGAGAAATAATTTATAGAACAGAAAAAATCAACTTCATAAAAAATTGGGTTTGGGCCGGGTGGTGGTGGCGCACGCCTTTAACCCCAGCACTCGGGAGGCAGAGCCAGGCGGATCTCTGTGAGTTCGAGGCCAGCCTGGGCTACCAAGTGAGCTCCAGGAAAGGCGCAAAGCTACACAGAGAAACCCTGTCTCGAAAAACCAAAAAAAAAAAAAAAATGGGTTTGGTTTAAAAAAAATTGAGTGGACAGAGTCCTAGTTAAATGAGCTAACAAAACAAATTTGAGGCTCAAATAAAGTCAATAAGGAGAGAGATATACTAAAAAGGATGTCATACGAAGGGTTATTAGAGACTATTTTGAGGAATTACATGTTTGCATAGTTGGCAATTTAGAAGAAATGGGCAAATTTGAGAAAGATTCCGCTTACAAAGATGGAATTAGGAAGGAGTAGAAATCGCAGACAAATATATAGCAAATAAAACAACTGCATCAATAGTGAAGAAACTTACAAAAAAGAGCCCAGAACCAAAGTCCTTCACAACTAAATTCCTCAAAAGTCTAAGAAAACAGCAACCCTTCTTGGACTGTTCCCAAGCAGATAGAGAGAAAAAATTTTGGATCACAAGCTACAACGCTCAGTCACTCCACTTCCAATCTCAGATAAAGACAACCATAGAGACACAGACTATGAATTAACACAAACCCTCAGGAAGCCCCAGGAAGTGTACTGATTTTAGTGTATATCCCACCTGTAGCTGGAGTTTTTCTCCAGTCCCGCCCGGGCCCACAGCCGCTCAGACCCAAATAAACACACAGAGGCTATATTAATTAAAACTGTTTGGCCTAATGGCTCAGGCTTCTCGCTTGATCTAGATCTTACACTTAAATTAACCCATAATTCTTATTTATGTTTAGCCACGTGGCTTGGTACCTTTTCCCAGTTCCGCCTTCACATCTTGCTTCCTCCATGTCTGGCTGGCGACTCCTGACTCAGCCCTTCCTGTTCCCAGAATTCTCCTCTTTGTCCCGCCTATACTTGCTGCCTGGCTACTGGCCAATCAGCACTTTACTTATTAACCAATCAGAGCAACACATTTACAGCATATAGAGTGATACCCACAGCACCCACCTATTTTATTATTCCTATTTTTGAGCACTCAGTATCCATCTCTATTTGTTCCTCTGGTAAATGTCAGTCTAGAGGAGCAAGATCTTTTCTTTGTCCCCTTCCACAGAATCACTTCTTATTTTGATTATTCTTTCTGAGCATAAGACCTGGGCTATTGCGGGGTTGGCAAACAAATCGGGCAAAATCCAGCTGCTTCCTGCTTTCATGTAGTTACAACTGAGAATGGTTTTTATACTTTTAAAAATTTCAAGAGAAAAATATTTTGTTGTACATGAAAACTATATGTCATTCAAATATGACCATCCATGAATAAAGTTTAATTGGCACCCAGGTGACTCTTGCAATGCAGTGGTAAAACTGGGTTCTTGTAGTTTGTTAATCTCTGAACTAGAACCTTCCTCATACCATAAGGCATACGATACAGGTAAGATCATTACAGGACCTTCAAGCAAGAGGAGCAAAAAGGCTGACTATGAATGTTACTTTTGTCAACTTGCCACAGTCTAGAATTATCTGGAAAGTGTGTCTCAATGAGATATTGTCCATATTGGGTTGGCCTGTGGACATGCCTGGGGTGAATTGTCTTACTTAACTGATGCGAGAAAACACAGCCCACTGTGGGCAGCACCATTCCCCAAGCGGGAGGGTCTCACCCTGTATAGAAGTGGAGAGACTGAGCTGAGAACAAGTAAGCAAGCAAGCATGTATACACTCACTTCTCTCTGTTCTTAATTATGGTATGCTTGCCTTAAGGTCCTGCTGCCATGACTCACTTGATATGATGGACTGCAATCTGGGATTGTGAGCCAACCAAATCCCTTTCTCCCTGAAGTTGCATTTTGTCAGAGTATTTAATCACAGCAATGAAAATGAAAGTAAAGCGCTCACCTACCAGACACATGAGAATGACCTGCTTTTGTTGACAAAAACATCACAGAGGGTACTTGGGGCTTCATTTATCTTTGTTCCTGCAATATCTACAACTGCCTTACATTATAACATTCATTCCATCGCAATTAAAGTCCTGGAGTAACAGATTGAGTGAAGTCTTGCACTAACTTGCATTAAAACTCTGCATGAACAATGTGGGCGAGCCATGATACTCAGATACATATAAGACAAAGCATACAAGACAAACCTATAAGACAAAAACAATTTTCTACCATGAGATAGGAAAAGAACTGGTTTATCAGGCTACAAAATCATTGATGAAGCAACAGAAGATGCTTAGAAACTCTGGGGTTAGGAAAACAAAGTATATTCCAACTGGACGCTACCACCACCAGCACAAGAAATGGGTTATCTCTTTTTGAGTTGTTGACCAGCAGATTACCATAGACACCACTCCCCATAACAATAACAGTGCAGGCCATTACCAATGTTATTGGTCACTCTCCAGACCTTGACTGTAAGCTGCTATTGCTGAAGACATCACATACTTCAGTTATACAGCATGGAAAAATCCAGCTAGTACTCAACTGGGAACGTCATTCCTAACGGACAGCTTTCATAATGGTAGAAGGTGATATGCACAGGACTGGAGGAGAAAAGTAATCATCACTTTCACACAGTTATGAATACCGAGAGATAGGCTAATGGCCAGGCTGCAAGATCTGCCCACTGGTGCAGCAGTGGTATGAGTATTTTGACCGTAACCAACCACCTTTTCGTTGCATTGAAGGCCACTCTCCAAGATGGAACTTATAACTGTCACTGTGAATAAGATCAAGAATCTGTGGCTAGACAGGTCATGGTCCTCAGCAGAAAATCTATTAGTATTCTGCTAAATGGACACAGCACTAACATGACTCCTAATGACTTGTTGTTGTACTTATAGGCCAATGCATCTCTCAGCCCTCATCAGAGATGCTTCATCTTGCAGTGAATGGCAAGCAACACAGAGATCCACAAATGGTTAATGTGCAGAGAATGAGAGACCCAGGAGTGCTCAGTCCTAAATGGGGCATCTATACCATACGCCTCCACCTAACGTTCGGAGATCTATATGGAAGAGGGGACAGAAAGATATAGAGCCAGGAGAGGTGGATGGCTTCAAGGACACTGTTTTCCAGATGTAATGAGGCAGAGGGATGCACATATGAACTAATAGAAACTGTGACAGTATGCACAAGCCCTGTACAAGTTCAAGCCAGACAAAATGCCAGCATGGAGGCGGGTAGGTGACCACAAAGTCCCTAGATGAAGAGCTATTGCTGCTGGGAGATGGAAAGTCATTTTTAATGGTGTGAAACCTGGTATACCACATTACAGGGCAAGCGCCATACTCGGAGTAGTGTGCCAGCACAAACTGAACTGGATGGGTTTAAAGGAGGAAAGGAAAAGGAAGAGATGTTGAGGAGGTTAATATGGTAAAAAAAAATTGTATAAAAATGTCAAAAAGTTAATAAAAACATTATTTTTTAAAAATGGAAAAGTAAGTTACTTCTCAGTCCAGGGACATCCACATGAGTGATGATCTACTCTCCAGACTCATCGAAAAGTGCTCTCAGGGAGAAAGGAGATCTACAAATGGAGAAACAAGAGTCTAAACAGACCTGACTCTGCACCAAGCAAAGCCTGGGAGCGTGGTTCCACTGCCTGTCACCTTCCTGACCTTCCAGTCACCTTCACTGACACACAAGCTAGGAGGTAAGAAAGCCCAGGACACACAGTTCCCATTCGACAGCTTGGGGCAGGAGCTGAGAAGACTCCAGATCTAAGAGCGTGGGGGGGAGGGGAGGGACTGAGGCCAAATGAAGGGCTAGAAACACAGCAAAATAAACTGGAATACCGAAATCAGAGAAAAGACGGAGCCAAATGATTTTAAGTGTGTGCATATTATTAGTAAAGACTATCTACTGTTAGGAATCATAATGCAAATATCTGATATGCAGGATATCTGATATACGACCTCTGTGAAAGAGTCATTCGATCTAGGAGGGGTCGCCACCCACAGGTTGAGAACTTCTGCTATAGAGGCTGCAAGCAAGCAACAAACATGTGTGGGAGAAAAGCATGGCTTTACGTTCCCAGGAACACTAGAGACTGGTAAATCCCAAGGTACATATATATGTGTACATGTGTGTGTACATATATAATATATATACATATATACATATGTACAATATATTTTACATATTTTTATCATATATATGTATTTCAAACACTACAATTAACCAAAAATTTAAAAGAATCAAATCCCTTCTTGATCACCCAGCTCCCGTGATTCTTCTTTTTTTTCCTCCGTCAGTTGTCGAGACATGAGTCAGTGGAATGTGAAACAGAAACGCGCATGTTCCAGAGGAGACAAAGCGAGTGCTGTCACATCTCAGCTGTGCAGCACGTCCCACGTGCAAGAAAAGAAAACACACTCCCCAGACCGTCTCCAGGGTAGAGACAGAGGCCTTTTTTAAACGTGGAGGAAGGTTAGACACGTTTTATTAAGGGATTTGGACAAACCAATGGGATGCAACTATGAAATCCAGAAGTGTCGCTCATTATGCAATCCAAGCAATTTAGTATCAGTCCATTATCTGGCTCAGAAGAGAATGAAATGCAGTTTGTGGAAATAGCGTGAAGTGCTATTTATGAAAGGGCACACACAACTTGATGACTTCTGCTACTTCCTGAAGTTGGACACATGGGGGCGTCTTTACTTTTGAGCTAATGCTTGTATTCTTTAAAAATCTAAGGCGGGCAGTGGTGGCGCACGCCTTTAATCCCAGCACTCGGGAGGCAGAGGCAGGCGGATCTCTGTGAGTTCGAGGCCAGCCTGGGCTACCAAGTGAGTTCCAGGAAAGGTGCAAAGCTACACAGAGAAACCCTGTCTCGAAAAAAAAAAAAAAAAAAATCTAAGGCAACTTTAGTAAATGTCACAGCTAATTAGTGACAGAATTTACTAGTCTCTGTATTATGCTAATTATGCTTGAAATTTGTAATGCAATGGGACATTTTCGGATTCAAACAATTTTGTCCTAACAGAGTAATAATGAAAAACAAATTGTTAGAAACCATTTAACTCCTGCATAAACACTTACGTAGTATATGGTTGTTGAAGAGTAATAATGTAAAGAAGAATGAAAGCTACATACCATGGCGACACCCGCAGCATAGCTTTTATTGCATATGTCACCCGGTGATACTGCTCCAATATATTTTGGATGTTCCCTGTAACTATACCATAATGGTTTACTTTGTATTCATGTAATTATATAACACAACATATAAGCATATATTTACTTCCTCATGAAGTTAAAAAGATCACTTGAGAAATATATAAACTTCCAATCTGAATATCCAATAAAGTATGCAAAATGTCCAAATTATTGTAATTATTCATTTGATATCAACTTTTTTCTTCCCCTAGCTCTCAGACTTGATATTATTCTATTATCTGAAATGCTACAAAGTTTCCCTTATCTGCAGTAACTCCTTAGGCCACTAAAAGTTGAAAAATAAGGAAAAGAACTTTTAACTTGTAGAAGAGGCAATGTTACATATTTTAAACATAAGCGTCTATTTAATACAAAAATATCACAAAGCAACCTACACAAATCTATCCTCTTGAAAAAGTAGACATGAAATACATTAATCTGTATGGGTAAAATTGAATAAACCATTTTTATATTATTTATTATATTAGACTGACATATTCTTCAGCAAAGCTGATATCATATAAATTAATGAGATTCAGGATTTGTTAACATTCTACTTTCAATACAAAAATATGCCAATATAAAATTGGCCATCATTGTTTTTATTTTTAAACTATCATCTTTATAGTATACATATATATGTGTATATATGTATACTTCATAGTATATGTATGTATATGCTATGTAATATGTATGTACACACATATATATAATCTTCAAAGTGTCCTACAGAAAACTGAAGAATATAATGAATGCAAAAATTGACCTTTGTGGAATTATTAATTTGTTAATCATGCAGAACACTGTCTACTTACATGAGTAAGTGTGTTATCTCATGGGACTGTAGGGTAAGATAGTCTCGTTTCCAGTCCAAAAATCTTTGTAAAATATCATTAGCATCTCCGTCGGTAGAAATTTGGTCTTTATCTGACCACAGTTCCAAAGAGGCTAACACAACAGCCAAATCCAGCTGAGTAAACATCTATGAATAGGATTTACAGTGTCTGTTTCAAAAATATCAACTCTTATATAAAAAAAACACAGAAAGAAGTTCACTAGAGTATTGGGAACATTGAGCTAATAAAATATATTCAAGTCATTAATTTTCCACACTTTTAAAATGCAAGTCATAGTCAATGTCTTTTTCATGAAATTAGAAATCTGAAAAACTAAAAACTTACTGTGTTGACAAGCCCAATAATCTGGAAAATTTTCTGTGTTACACCCAAAGTGTCAGATCCCATGTAATCATACTGAAATACAAATTTAACTGTTTTAGGATTTATTAAAATAATAATATGATAGTACATTTTTCAACAGCTGAATTATTTTGGTACTATAAGACAAGCATAATTTTATCAAGTCTTTCTACATGCTAATATTTTCATTAAAGTTTTATTTTGCCAATTATAACTAAAATTTTATACTAATTATATTATAATATAATCATATGTAACTTATATAAAATATAATGATTTATAATAAAACACTAAAATGATGCTATATAATTATATAATAATAATTTTAAAAATAATAATTCTTATTAAAAACAATGACTCAAGAACACACTGGCATTTAGAATGGACTCAGTATAAACTTCTAAGACTCTCAAGCAGAAAAGGTATGAAGTGAGAGGCACTAACACATCTCTGTGGATTCCACCCCATGATAACCAGACCTCACAGCTGGAAATTGCCTATGAAAACAGGGATCCAAGGACCCCTCAGTGCATGCTCCACAAATGAGGAAGAGCAAATACACGAAGAAACAGAAGAAACAACTGAAATTGGAAATAAGTCTACAACAGAAGAGATAAATATTATCATGATGTGGAGTGAAAATCCTGTCAAATGAATACGTTAATACAATCTGCTAATTAAAGTGGACCACCTCCAGAGGTATGTGGACTCTGACTCTGGAGCTGATAAATTACCTCTGTTCCTGGGCATCATTAGCTGAATACGCTCAGCAACTCAGTCCAAACACTTTTGGGGGCCAGAGCTGTAGCCACAGTCTTCTCGCCAGCCTGGGGCTAGAAGCCAAATTCTCAACTTTCAATTGAAAAAAGAATAGGGACTTGTGTGCTTAGGCTCTGTGAGCATGGGTACAAGGTATGAGTCATTCAACACATTTTTCTGGTCAACATTTCTGAAATCCTTCTTCACTATACTCTTCAAAAGATGTGAATTATGGTGGACCCTTCTAGTTGTTCTCTGGATCTGTACTCTTTTTTTTAAACATGTTTGTTGGAGGTTATTTGATCATACCGTGTGAGATGTTTCTGTTTTACCTCACCTGTCTAAGGCACCTTCTGATTGGTTTAATAAAAAGCTGGATGACCAGTAGCCAGGGAGGAGAGAATAGGCAGGACTTCTGGGCAGAGATAGGAACTCTGGGAAGAATCTGAGAGGCAAGGGATTCACCAGTGAGATGCAGAGGAAGTCAGACATAAGGTACTGAGGAATGGTAATGAGCCACATGGCAGAAGATAGATTAATATAAATGGGTTAATTGAAGTTTTAAGAGCTAGTTGGGAACAAGCCAAAGCTAAGGTCAAGCTTTCATGCTTAAAGAAGTCTCCATGTCATTATTTGGGAGCTGGCAGTCTAAAGAAAGACTGGCTATACATATTTTTATTATTTCTTTGAGAGTTTAATATTGTACATTTTAATCATATTTGCCCCCTATTTCTCCCCCTAACTCTTCCCAAATCCACCCTATTCCCAACCCCTCAACTCTGTGTCTTCTCTTCCTTCATTTCTTTATCTTTCTTTAGTTTTCTTTCCTTTTTTATTTTATTTTTATAACCAATTTGTAGCATCTAATTTGTACTTCCCTGCGTGTGGGCCATCCACTAGGGCATGAGCAACCTGACAGGGGCCACATCTTGAAAAAAATAATAATAACTGGCTCTTTCTCTCCTAGAAGCCATCAACTGTCCGTAGCTCCTCACTTAGGATGGGGGCTCATAAGGCCCTTCTCAGTCCATACTAGAGTGTTGACTGGCTTGATCAGGTCTCATGCAGGAAATCATGAGAGCAGGGATGCTGTCCTGTCTAGAAATCATTGTTTTGTTGCAGTCTTCTCTGAGCTCTGCCTCTTATGATATTTTCACTCTCTATCCTGTGACAGTCTGAGTCATGTGTGTGTGTGTGTGTGTGTGTGTGTGTGTGTGTGTGTGTGTGTGTGATATGATAGCCTATTTATGGCTGAGCGTTGCACTGACCCTTGTTGGCTGCACTTTGATCAATTGTGAGTGTCAGTGTTAAATACTATCCACTCTACGAAGAAACTTCTCTGATGAGATTTGAGAGCGGCAGTGATCTATGGATACAAAGATGTGAATTTAGAATGCAATTCGAAACACAGTCCGCTTAGCAGAATAGCAAGAGTGAGTTCGTCCCTGGGGCCTGTGAATGCTCCAAACATGGGTTCTTAGCCAGACTTGCAGTACTAGGGATGTGTTTTCTCCTGTGGAGCAGGCCTTAAATTCAACTTTAAAAACAGTGGTTGGTTCTTCTATAACGTGTATAGCACTATTGCACCCCCAGGCATGCTTTGCCACACTGGTCATTATGTAGTGGAGAGAGAACACAGTTAAGAAAAACTAGTGATGACCTTTTCCCCAGCCCCTTCCACTACTAAGAAACTTCCTGGTCAATCCTAACTCTATTGCTCTACGTCGTATGCCCAATATGTGTGCTGTCTTCAGTAATAAGGTCTCGCATCAACTTCTGGTGGGCAACCAACAATTGCAATCGCCTATATTATTGTGGGGTCTCTAAGACACCTCTGACCAAGAACGCAAAAGGGTGTATTCCATACTTAGTACTAGGAGATTTATTTAACAACCTATGGATTCTAAGAGGAACATCGTATCTTGTGTAGGGTAATTCCAATTAAACCCCTTTATGTGAATATGTAAATATGAAACAGGTAAAACAGCAGTTTCCATGTGGGATTTTAGTCATCTCTTCCATCATACTGTCCTCTGCCCCACATGCCCATCTCTCTGACCACTTTAAATTCCCTCCACATTACTGAATCTTAACTGATTCCATTTCTCATGCTGCACAAATTCTTCAGCATCTCCCAACTACACCTGGGGGTGAAACGCAAGCTCTTGCCTTAGGCTGAGATTCAGCTACCTCGTTTGATCCTCCCACAGACCCACAATCCTGGAGTGATGGCTATATCCATTTCAGTTGCATCAACCCACCTATCACTCAACAAACAGAACAGCTATATTTGAGAGACTCCTGATTTGGGCTCCTACAACTGTGTGCATCTGCTAAGACCTTCACTATTTGTCTTAAAAACCTTTGCTATGAACATTGAACAGTTACTACACCTTCCAGGGTTGTATTGTTTCATACTGTTCGTGTTAACATATACTACGTCACAGTGTAATTCTCTTACTGTTTAGCTGTCTCTTCACAATTCAATTTTATAAAGCAGATGATATTGAATGAATAACAAAACTAAAACACCTGTGAGCTCAAAGGAAACAAATCATTTCTGTCTCTAAGTTTTTCATTAAGAAGAAGGAAGGGAAAAGGAAGAAGTGGATGGGGGGTACAAGAAATGAGGAGGTGAACAGAAAAGAAAGGGAGATAGAAGACGGAGAGAAAAGGAGAGAAGAGGAAGAGATGGGATAGAAGCGGGCAGGAAGGATACAAGAAGGGAGATTGACTTACCAAAGATTTCCCCACTATAATGTGCAGTTTTAGACTTTGAGGGAATAGTTGTGAATGATTTTTGTCCTGGAAAACAACCAAAACTATTAATTAATTGTTAGTGTGTACCGAGCTCTCTAAAAGCAAAAGTTAACATGCAAAGAAGTCAGGGAAGACATACATAAAACCACGATTGAGACCTAAATATAAAAGACTGTTGCAAAGCACAGCTTTCACTTCAAAACATCCTTGGAATGAGAGGTTCCCTGTGAGGGCTTCACCCTTAGAAGGAGAACTCCAGGCATTGGTGGTTGCCTTGTGCTCCTGAAAGGTTAGCCAATCCCAAGAGGTCTGCTCTAAACACTTATGTGCAACACTGAGTGATGATCTCAGTGGGCTGTATTTATAAACATCTCTCTGTGTGTGTGTCTCTGTGTGTGTGTGTCTCTGTCTCTGTCTCTGTCTCTGTCTCTCTCTCTCTCTGTGTGTGTGTGTGTGTGTGTGTGTGTGTGTGTGTGTGTGACAATTACAATTAAAAAATAAGAAGCCATGAATTTGAGGAATGGAAGAGGTACAGGAGGAATTGGAGAAAGGAGAAGGAGGGAGAGAATGCTGTAAATACATAATAAGTTAAAAGCCCACAGGAAAGTTACCAGTTGGGAACGAGTCTTCACCCCATTCTCCCCATGTGTAGCTGGAATGTTCATTACTGTCACGTAGCCTTCTGCAGATCAAAACACTGTGATTTTTAAGAGAAACCAGTAGGTCTTTCCTCTCTCCTATGGGTTGTGCCTTGGGTTCTAAATCATTTTCAAGTGTCTTTATTGTCAATAATGATGCAGTTATGGTTGTTTATGGTGTCAGATTTCATCTGTGGCTCATTTTATTTCCAATATAGATTGTGTCAACATATATTATCTTACATTGATATACAGTACCTATGTATCTACTTATCTTCTTGCTGGTTTTTTTTTTACAGTTATATAAAATTCATACATCACTTTAGAGAAAATGTAGTCCTTTCTATGACAAATCTTACAGTCCCATAATGAATAGTTTTTTCTCCATTTACTTAGTTCTTTATTAGATCAGCACCTTGCAGTTTGTGTGTACAGCATTTCTACACTTCCCCTGCTGTTTATAGGAGTGTGGTGGATTTTTATATGCCATCTAATATTCAGGAGGTGTGTATTTCCATCATTGGATTCAGGAGTATTACATACTCCACCAAGCAATCCTCTATCATGATGGTTAGAGGGATGAAAGGAGATAGACTTGAGTTTATCCAAATTTAACAAGAGGGCAATCAGTCTTGTGTCACTGAGAATCATCTTTGTTTAGATTTTCATGGATAGTATTTATCAAGGGCAAACTTCACTCTATTACAAGGTTGCTGAGTGTCTGCATCAAATGGACACTGAATTTTATTATCTTCCTTTATCGCACAATGGATAAAATGTGGGCTTTCTTCTATACCAGCTGGGTTGGTACTAACTTGGGTTACTTTTCCAATATTGGACCCAGGACTCGCTTTTGAAATAAAAGGAGGTTAAAACAATCCATTCTGCAGGGAAACTTGTTCCATTTAGGAAGTAGATAACTCAAAAGCTTTAGGAAGTCCCTGAAACTGACCAGATTCGTTAAATCTCTCCCTTCCATAAAGCCAGCTGAGAGACACTCTCAGACCAGCCAAGTTGCCTGGAAGAAGCAGAGACCAGCCTGTGTGGGAATGGTGTTTCTGAGAAATGCTGTTTAAACTTTGCCTTTAAATTCAAACTGTTATCCAAATACTTTAAGGCCATTTATAAATATGTATTCACTCTGCTTATATATAACTTAATATATATGCAGAATATTGAGCTCTAAATGTATATTAACAGATCTTTGAGAAAAACATTTTAATTCCTGTTACTATGCTTTGGATGTCTCCATGTTCCTTGCTCCCTATGTTTCCTTTGTGACTTTTTTATGGCTCTGACTCAGCAATGCATATATGTGGAAGAGGAAGACCATTTAGTGGGAGCAACGCCCCTTCCCCCCATAGGTTGGAAGCAACATGTGGGTGGTAATAACCGATTGTGGCTGTGTGGGTTGTTCTGTGCCAGTAAGGCCAGAAAAACAATTGTGTCCCTTATGAGACTCCTGTAAAAGATTCAGACAGAAGTTCCTCACTCCTTTTCACTACTGCGCAGAACAAGACAAGCTAAAACTGTTCTGAATAAAGCAGGCTCACTCTTGGGCAAAGGGCATCGAGAATTAGTCCTTCATTAATGAATGTGGCATTGTCACAAGTCTAAGCTGCCTGGAAGAGACGCCCTCTAACCTGTTGAGTTTCTTAGAGGAGCAGTATGCTCCAGGCTTCTAGTCATTGTTAGCTACTGATAGCCACTATTCATATTGTGGTGATATTTGAAGGCCATCCAGCTGTCTTTGAGTTATCATTTCTGTTCCTGTAAATAGCCACTCACCCACAGTCCTGTAGGTGACCACAATAAAACACTGGTCCGCTAAATTGGACTTTGGCAGTATCTATACTTTGATCTGCCATTGATTTCCTACCTGGAGTGTTCAGATCTCCCCAGAAATAGTGTCATATAATACCAAAAAGTAGTACTACCCCAGAGTGGGTGGATCTCCCCACTAATTAGGATAATCCCCTTCAGACATGCCCAAATGCTGACCAAAATCTAGACAAACTCTCACTGAGACGCCTTCCCCAGGTGACTGGAGGCTATATCAACTTGACAATTCAAACTAAGCATCATGGGTAACGTTTGAAGAATTAACCCTATCTAGGGAGGAATCTACCCTGGTCCTGAGGGAAACAGAACTCTGTAATAGCACATGGCCTGGACTCAGTGCCTGGCTTTAGGGGGTCCTGTCACAACTACAAGTCTGTAAGCACAGCGTAGATAGGGTGGGTTACAATGTTGGAATCTTATAAACACTTCCATGTGCAGCTGGCTTGGAGGGTCCAGCACCAAGTTACACTTCCTGAGTGATTGAGTTCACAGGGGCAAAGAAACATGGATGCAATTGTCATAAAACAAAATAGACTCCCATTCTCCGAACAGCTGACAGCCAAGGCCATTCTCCCAAGACAATGTGATAAATGTCTGCTTCTTCTGATGGGAGGAAAGGGTTTTTCATTGGCAAGTGGCCTAAAGAACAAGCTTCCAAAGGCACAACAGTCCAGCAAACTTAAATTCTAATGAAGTCAGAAGTGTATCTCTATTCTCTTTATCTTTCTATATTGGCCCAGAGAAACTGCTCAGTATGTACCCACCTTACCATCATGCTTGAGTGGTGAACGAGGCAGAGCTCCCCAACTAAATTTCTTATGTCTATGTAACTTAGTATTTCCTAGGTAAGCTTATTAGTGAACCTATTTAAATCATAGTTTAATTGATGCCAAAGCTTACTAATATTTCTTTCCATCTTCAGTAATATAGAAATGATTGCCTATTTTAGAAAATATGTCCAATTAATATGTAAAGGTACATAGGAAACATTGAAAATACTTCCAGCAGGCTACTGAAAATAGTGGCTATTCTTCCCTCATTGTTCGATAGTTTTCAATACCAATGTCTCCTTTGAAAAACACCAACACAAAAATGCTACAAATACATCATAGAGCAATACATGTGAAGTATAATACTAGGTGATCTTCCAGGTTATGTGAAATTTGAATGCTTTATGTCAAGGCATAGGGAACAAAAAGCTGTGAAATATATGATTTATGCTCATCAGCCTCGTCTCCCTGCATGACTGATGAACAGCAGAAGTGATTCTCTGGTGTTCCCTGCCACCGGAATGCCTATGGTTACCTGGGCATCGGGATGACCTTTATTGAGCTGGTCCATCTGCCAAATGCGGCTGTAATTTTCTGCTAACACTGGAGTGTCATTTTTCAATTGATAAACTATGTGCTCAAATTTTGCTGAAGATTCCAGTGGTTCAATTCCATAGCTGATGTTTTCCAACTGCAGGAATCCCCTGAATTCACAAACACAATCATTATCAAAACCATGCACGGCACCCCCCTCCCCCTGGCCAAGCTATCATCTGAAATGTGAGAAATAAGAAACCATAGTGAAACAAATGATTTTATGCATTTTTCCCCTGTTTGCTTCTGCGGGCACCACTGTTTTAAAAAATCACCATTATTGGTCTTAATTTTGAAGTATAGCTCAGGGTGGCCTCACACTTTGGATCCTCTTGCCTCAGCTACCAAGTGCTGAGATCACACGCATATCCCGCCCTATGCGGTGCTGCATTCTTTTCAAAAGACGGTATCAGAATTCAAGATATATTGAGGTTCCCGAACAGTGGGACAAAATTAAAGTCCCCTTCCTATGTTTCAGGGAATAAGAGGCATCAGAATAACACACACAAAAAAAACTTCTGTTCTGGTGAGAGGAGAGGGGAACAGAGGAAAAAATGGAATCAGAAAGGAAACTTGGAGCAAAGCACAAAATCATAGGCAACTTCAAGCTTGGCTCTCTGGCGGTGGGCAGTGCCCGGACCCGGAAAGCCCAGCAGGTTAGCACACAATGCTAACATGGCACACACACGTGTCAGCACACAATGCTAACATGGCGCACACACGTGTCAGCACACAATGCAACATGGTGCACACATGTGTGAGCACACAATGCTAACACGGCACACACACGTGTCAGCACACAAAGCTAACATGGCGCACACACGTGTCAGCACACAATGCTAACACGGCGCACACACGTGTCAGCACACAATGCTAACACGGCACACACACGTGTCAGCACACAATGCAACACACGCACACACATGTGAGCACGCAATGCTAACCTGGCGCACACACGTGTCAGCACACAATGCAACACACGCACACACATGTGAGCACGCAATGCTAACTTGGAGCACACACGTGTCAGCACAGAATGCAACACGGTGCATACACATGTGAGCACACAATGTTGACACGGCAAACACACATGTCAGCACACAATGCTAACATGGCGCACACACGTGTCAGCACACAATGCTAACACGGCACACACGTGTCAGCACACAATGCTAACATGGCACACACACACATGTTAGCACACAAAGCTAATAACAGACCAGCAGACCCAGTATGGGAGAAATCCTCCTTTCTTACGAACTTTATATCCAACAAGAAGTACGGCCTGCCAGGGATGACGCCTTCAGATACCAAATTCCTTCTGTCTTTCAGCATCACTGAGGGCTATAACCAGGGACCATCTGGAGAAGGCACTACTGTTGGGGAACCATATTATTATTTGGATCAGGAAACAAGAAAAGGCAGAATTTGAGGCTCCTGAGGACACCTTGCCACAGTGACTGAGCGAAACACAAATATGAGAGACAGTCACAGACAGGAGAGGTTCCGACACAATAGCAAAGGAATTCTACAGATTTGGTACAATCCCTATTTTTAAAAAAATCTAAATTTGGGGGGGAAATTTCTGAGATTCATGGGGAAGGACTAAAGACTCTGATCATCCAAGTAATTGTGAGCAAATCCAGAAATCTTAAAGTATCAAAGTATTGAATTTCAAGTTACACTGCAGAGCTATACTAACAGAACAGCATGCTATTGACAGATGCATAGACCAGTGGGGTAGAACTGAGAACCCAGAAGTAAGTCCATACATCTATAGCCAACTGATTCCTGACAAAGAGGCCAACATCTTAGGCTAGAGGAAAGCCTGACCTCCTTATGAACACTGTTGGGAAAACTAGATATTCACAAGTAGAAGACTAATGTAGATCTCTCTCTATAGAATTCAACAAAAAAAATTGACCAGAGAACTTAACATAAGACCTGAAACTTTGAAAGTACTAGAAGAAAATACAAAGGAGACACTTCAAGAATAGGCATTGACAAAGACTTTGCTTGGAAAATACGAGTATTAAAAGTGAGACAGAATTAAACTAAAAATGTCTGCATAGCAAAGGATCAACAAAACAATAAAATGTCCTACAGACTCTTAGTCATTTATTTGTCCCACATCAGACAAGTACCAAAAAACTCAAAAATTAAGAAAAAAAAGCAGTAACCAAGTCAATAAATGGGAGGGAAAAAAGATAAAAGTCACCACTCAAAATATGTTCAAGTGACCAGTAAATACATGGAAACGTGTTCAAGCTTGTTAGCCTTCAGAGAAATACAAATCAAAAACTACAAGGAATGGTAGGTTAGTGAAGGGGTAGAACACTTGCATGCCAGGCCCAAAACCTTGGTTAGATGCTCAAACTCTGGGAGAAAGAAAGGGAGAAATGTATTGAGATTCCTCCTGGCCCCAGTAAGAATGGCTATGACCCATAAAATCAAAAATAACAAATGCTGGCAGGGATGAGGGAAAAGGAACTTTACACATTGCTGGTAGAGATGTCAATCAGTACAGTCACTATGGAGAACAGTAAGAGTTCCTCAAAAGAAGAAGCAGCAAAGGACCCAACTATTCCATTCCTGGGAAGGTGCCTTCCACTATGGCGACAAAGTACCTGAGAAAATCATAGGCAGTGTCTGAGGTGGGGTTTCTACAGCTGTGAAGGGACACCATGACCACAGCAACTCTTATAAAGGAAAACATTTATTTGGGGCTGGCTTACAGCTTCAGAGGTTTAGATCATTATTATCATGGGTGACGTGGTAGGGTGCAGGCAAACATGGTGCTGGAAAAGTAGCAGACTGTCCTATATCTTGATGTGCAGGCAACAGGAAATGGTCTGAAACACTGGGTATGGCTTGAGCATATATGAGACCTCAAAGCCCGCCTCTACCAGTGACATACTTCCTCCAACAAGACCACGCCTATTCCAACAAGGCCACCCCTCCTAATAGTGCCATTCTTCTTGGGGGCCATTTTTTTTTCAAACCACGACAGATGGGAAAGAGTCATATGTTTCTCATGGTTTCAGAAATGCCAGCTCACGAGCACTTGGCCTGCTTCTGAGCCTGTGGCCAGGTAAAACTTGATGGCTAAAGGAAGCATAAAAGAACAGTTGCTCAGTTCATGTCAGGCAGAACCCAAGGGGCGGGGAACAAGACAGATACTTCAAAGACACATTCCAGTGACCTACTTCCTCCTCCTAAGCCCCTCCTCCTCCGAGGCTATTCCAGTATGAACTCATCATGGATTAATCCTTCAACAAGGTTAGTGTTCTTGTGGTCCGATCATCTCTTCATTGTGACACCACCTGGGGCTAGGCTTTCAACTCATAAGCTTGTGGATAAGTGTCACAAGCAAACCACAGCCCAGAGAAGGAAACAAAGTCAGGGTGTGTAAAGAAAACCATGCTTTGTTACTGCAGCATTATTCACAGTAGCCAAGGCATGGAAATACATGGGTTAGCCTATGTGTCTGCAATGGATGACTGCATAAAAAAAGTAGGAGATCTATACACAGCTGAGTATTACCTGGCCATAAAAATATCATGCCAACTACAGGAAATTGATGGAATTCAATGATAGCACATAAAAGCCAACTATGGAAGAGGCAGAAAGTCAAGTATCAAAGTCTCTTTCAATGTGAGCTAGAAACAAGCTTTAAAGGTGACTGAAATTAGTAAAGAGGCTACAAGGAGAGAGGTTACAAAGAGAAGGAAAAAGTGAAGGAGAAGAGAGGAGCTGGAGAGTAGAAACCATCAAACCACGGTGAGGAGCTGTATGGAAATGTCACCATGACATCTAATGAGACATACAGTTAATGTGTACTCCTATTTATAATCAAAACCACATGTTAAGGAAGGCAAAGTCCCAGAAACTGATAAGAAGTCCATGAAGAATGCTCTGTGGCTACAAGGCTGTGGTAAAGGAAAAAGAATTCAGAACAGACATCCAAAAAGGCACTACCATGAAAAGGAGGTTGTGGAGAACCTCCCTCTCTGTTCTTGAGTCATCTGCCCTTGATAAACTTTCCATGGTTCCCATAGTAACAAAGAAATCACTTATTGCTGTCCTTGGCCACTGAGGGGCCTTCTTTATTAGTTGCCTCATGCATGGCACTAAACTGATACCATATTGAATGGGCCTATTAGATTTAATAACCAATTAAGACCATTTTTCATAGTTGAGATAATGATCAAAAAAATAAATAAATGAAGCACTAGCCTTTAAAGCAGTGGTTCTCACCCTTCCTAATGCTTTGACCTTTGATACAGTTCCTCATGCTTTGATGACCCCAACCATAAAATTATTTTCGTTGTTCCTTCTTAACTATAATTTTGCCACTGTTATGAATCATAATGTAAATATTTTTGGAGACAGAGGTTTGCCAAAGGGCTCACAACCCATAGGTGAGAACCACTACATTAACGTGTTCTAAAGGTCTCATCTTCAAACCATCCCTTCCTGCCCAGCATTCTGGAAACAGCTCCACTCAGGATGCCCTCAGCTGAGTTAGTATGAGTGACAGCTTAGGTTCAGGCATTAACATGAATGAAAGGCCATTGGAAAGGAAACTTTCAGAGTTCCGCTGAAGGTTTCCCTGGATTTGCATCTGCTTGTCATGGTCTCACTCTAAAGCACAGCCCACTGCGTTCACACACAATTGTTCTCTAGGATGCTATTACCTGAGGCCAGAGCAGATGTTAAGTGTGACAGTAGAATTTGGAAATTCATCAACGTATCCTCGGTAATGGCAATGTGTCTGAAAAACAGACCACACAGGTGAGGATACACATTTTTTTAACAACAACAACAAAAAAAAAAAACCTGTGTTATCAAATATTTTAGAAGGCTCATGATAGCAAAAGATTTGAAAATAGTATATCATGAATTGTGTAGAATTTTTAATGCAAGCTCTCAGGAAAGAAGATTTGGGGGCACTCTCTTTACTTATGGGTTTTCTCTGTTTTTATATCTCTTTTCCATGACATGTACATATATAGAAGTCATCCATATAACAGGTCACAGTTCCAAGGAGTGAAACATTTGAATTACTGTCAACATGAGGCTTGGGAAGTAGCGCCATGATAGGGTTTTCCTAGGATGTGCAAAGACCCCAGTTCAGTCTCAGCAAGTAGAAACAATGTCTAAAAGGGAGAAGTAGTCTAATTACACAGTACATCCCTTTCAACAACAAAATATAAGGTAACAAATACTAAGACATTTGATTCTTACCATTAAGTGTGAAGAGTCGGAATACAAAAATCCAGTTTCATTGTATGTGTGAACCAAAAAATCCTGGGATAAGAATGAGCTTCAAAGAAACCAACAGATAGAATTTAAGTCATCATTTAAAACAAATATACACATTAATAAAACAATGTTAAGTGCAATGGATTCATATAAAGCATGATTTCATTATGATAATCTTAGTGTGGTATCATTGGTGATACTATTTAAAAAAATGGTATATGGGCAGAGTCAGGAGAACTCAACACTGGGCCAGCACTGTCAGGTATTTCTGTGTATGACGTCATTGAACAAATACTCACTAGAATGTCTACCACATGGCAGTCCCTCTTCTGGGCCCTGGAATACAGCACTAAACAAAAGACAGTCAGAGTCATATACTGCTCTATGACAATGAACAGGGCCTCGTTACTGTAGGGTGATTAACACAAGTATGTAGGATGCCATGACACAGCTCCTGAAAGAGATGACTAGGCACAAAGAACAAGCCAGACGGACTTGCAGGCAGGGCTGGGATAAAATGAAAGGGTCCTGAGCCAGACATGGGTGTGCATCCACGAAGAGTAGCAATGGGAACTGTGTTTGGAATAGAGTATGAAGTGACGAGACAGTGAGACGGAGTCCCAGAGGGCTGGGGTAAGTGGAGAGGAGCAGAGATTTTAAGAAAGCCAAACTCAATGCTATGTGGAGAACAGTCTGCAAGGCAAATACATGGAAGTTGAGGCTAGTCAGAAGACTAATACCGCCACCCAGGCCATCCCTGAGGGAGTCCTGAATGATGAAAATCATAGTGAAGGCCAATATGGGCTTCAATAACCCACTGGACCTTAGGGAAGGCAGAAGTAAGAGAGATGTCAAGGATATATTTTTCTTCTTTCTTAATCTTTCTTTCTTTCTTTTTAAATTAGAAGATACGACTTGCCATTTACTAAGATAGTTATGAGGAATGCAGATTTGGGAAGAGCATCCGAGGTCCACTTTTAGCAAGTTAGCAACAGGAATTGTAGCAAACATTTGATTATGAAATAAAGTAGTGAATGAGTGCAGCATCCATTGCCATGGGATAAGGTATGGATATCAATTACAAACAGCCAACAGTCAGGAAATACACTGCTAGCCACAAGACTGAACCAAAACACTAGCTGACTGAATCCACATTAGACGTTCATATCGTACCCTCAGATCGGGAAGGTGAGGAAGACTCTGCAAAGGCCAATGCAGAGAGAATGACAAGGTTAGGAACATTGGTAAGAGTCAGACCAGGGCTAGGGGTGGATGATATTCTGGAGTCCAGTGGAGAAAGCATTTTATGGAGAGGACATTAACCAGTTATGCCAAATGCCATCAATTGGTAGAGAATTAATGCCGAAATGAAGACTAGAATGCAACCATGGTATTAAAACAAACAAACAAACCCTGAAGGACAGTGATACTCTTATCAAAATTTCCCGTCAGTTTTAGGGAAGTACATTGTAGAAGAAGGAAAGGCCAGTGTTAGGTCGGCAGACATCATGGATGACAATAACTTTTGTAGCCTTGTTCAGCCACAAAGCAAAAAGATGACAAGCAACAGTTGTCACACATCTTTGTTGATCCCTGAGGCTCCGAAGACACCACCTGATCTTTCTTAGAGTCAATGCTGGGAAAATGTGATGACGGATAGAAAGACTGATTGCTGCTTTGAGCTGTGGGTGGGAACAGAGCTGGACCAAAATTACAGGAGAACTGTTATTTAAGGGCAGGAGCATTACCACACAGCACTGAGATTGCTAAAGCCGACAGGGGAGGTTTTTCATACGTAAAAATATTAAGGAAGGCTGTTTTAAGTCACATAAATAATTAGTGCATCATAAAATTGACCCTACTGGAATTTCCCAACATAGTCACTTGATTACTAACTGTATTTGATCTCAGAAATTCATGCAACTCACCATGCTTGGGTACAAGGAATCCTTAATTGAAGATTTCCAAATACATAATTTATTTCTCAACTTAAAAATGTAAATCTGAAAATCAAATACAAGAGCCTCATAGACCTAATATTCAGGACCTAGCAAATCCTAAACTGAAAAGTTGATTGACCATTATACTGCACTACTGAATTTAAATACTGCACATAAACTTTAAAAGAGCAAAAAACTGGCACAGACATTTACTTTTTGCAAAAGAAAAAATACATCTTACTAGTTTCTGAGATGCAGAGAGTGGGGTTTCCCATCAATTGTAATGACATAAGTCACCTAAAATAGAGGAAATTGACAGATAATTTAGTAATGCAGACATGCAATGGGAGACACTATTGTTCACTCAAGTTAGTGAAAATATCTCAGCACATTAAAAATGAACATATTCTTTATTGCACTAATTAGTAAGGTTTTAGAGTTGGTTGAGTTTGGAAGATTGTGATTTAGTGTGTTGATTGAAATGTTTAAAAAAGAATATATTTTGAAAAAATATAATTTTAGCATTACTGATATTCTATCAATTTCTTTTATCTAGAAAATAAACATTTCTTTTTTTTAAAGCAATCTTTTTTTAGGTTTATTTATTTATTTATGTATATAGTGTTCTGCCAGAAGAGGGCACCAGATCTCATTACATATGATTGTGAGCCACCATATGGTTGCTGGGAATTGAACTCAGGACCTCTGGAAGAGCAGCCAGTGCTGTTAACTTCTGAGCCATCTCTCCGACGAAAATAAATATTTCTAATAAAAATAAATAAGGAATGGTTGAGGGTTTATATTATATACCAAATATAATGAACTAATAAACAATTTATAAATACATGCATATTACATTACTCATCTCAGCTCTCAACATGTAAAACTACAAAGGGGTGGGAAAAAAAAAACCTAAGAGGCTACACAGACAAGAAGCCTGGAGCAATACCGCAGCCCAGGGGTGAGGCTCCAAACATCAGGAACTGAGTAACCACAGTGTTCATCCTCCTCCTCCATGTAATACAAAACCAAGCAAACTGGGGGCGGGGGGAGGCGGTGACTGCAGAGCCGCTGTACATGTCTACAGATGCAGACTCCAACCCAGCAACTCTCTTCTAAGCTAAACCAACAGAACCTGCGAATTTGTAGGAGACACGGGCAGTGTTGCTGATGCCTAGATATACCCAGGACGTTCAAGACCACACAGCTGTAGATCAGAGGCTCATAACCCAGATCTGGCGCAAAGCTGATACCCAGCACCCGCTATGACCCCTGCAAAGTATTACATCACATCCAACACGCTGTTCTAGAATAAATAAAAAAAATCAAGACTGCGGTGATACATCTTATGAAAATATTTCTTACGCTGGAAGAGACAGGCACTTTTGCTGGACCTCACAACTGAGTTAATAATAACTACATCACTTAAGAGCCCCTTAAGTGCCCAATCCTCTGGCTCTTACAATCTTTCCAACCCCTCTTCTGCAATGTCCTCCGAGCCTCAGGTGTGAGAGTGGATGTGGGTTCTCCAAGGCAATCTGGGCTTCAACTTTATAACTTCATGCAATGGCCTCTCTACTAGGCCTCCATTCAGGGACACCCCTGACTCATGCCTGGTCACAGCAGCATTCCTTAGGTTCAGAGACAATTTCCATAACCTGTTTATACTATCCTTAACTCTAGAGCCAGAACCACATGAAGCTGCCAAGTTCTGCCACTTGCCAGAGCTAGAACATGGCCCTCTCAGTCATTTACATCATCACCAGCTTTCTGTTTTCCATGGTTCCCTTCACTGCCTAAACTTGGATGTTCTAAAACTTGCTCAGTAGACCAGGCTGGCCTCAAACTCAGAGAACTGCCAGCCTCTGCTTTCCCAGTGCTGGGATTAAAGGTGTGTACCATCACACCTGGCTCTAAGCTTTTCTTAAATTCCTTTTCACAAGTTGGAAATTTAGCTGGATGAGATCTGCCTGCCTCTGCCTCCTGAGTGCTGGGATTCAAGGTGTGCACCATCACACCCAGCTTAAAGCTTTTCTTTAGTTTCTTTTCATTATAAATCTTCATTAGAGTTACCACCAAAAAAAAAAAAAACAAATAAACAAAAAAACAAACCACATGACAGAATCTATATTAGGCTGTTTTGAAATTTTTCTGCCAACAGAATTAATCCAAAATTCTTTACTTTAGCCTCAGGCAAACTTTTTGGACAAGGGCAAAAAACAACCACTTTCTTCACCAAAATATGGCAGGAATGATCTCTAGGCAACATACTAACATTCTTCTCATCTGAAACCTCTTGAGGTAGCCCCTCACGGTTCATCAAAGCACACTCAGCACCACTGTTTTCCATGCTCCTACTAGTATGGCCCATTAAGCAGTGCTTAAAGTTTTCCTAACCCAAAGTCCCAAGGGTCCTTATTACTCTAAACAAAAGCATGGTCAGGCTTATTACAGCAATACCCCACTTCTGGTACCCCACCATGACCATGGCAACTCTTATAAAGAAAACATTTAACTTGGGTGGTTCACTTATAGTTTCATCATGACAGGGAACATGGAAGTATGCAGGTAGACATGGTACTGGAGCTGAGAGTGCTACATCTTGCAGGTAACAGGAAGTCAACAGACAGTCACACTGGGAGAAGTTTGAGCAAAAGAGACCCCAAAGCCCACCCCCAGAGTGACGCACTTCCTCCAACAAGGCCACGCCTCCTAATAGTGCCACTCCCTTTGGGGGCCATTTTCTTTCAAACTACCACTACCCTTGCTATTTACCTATAAAAACAAACATTTTATACCAGCTCAAGAACACTGCTTGTTGATTTATTTACAATAACTAAAAACTTGGAAGCAACCAGAGTTCACCTCAGAAAGCTGACTGATTAGCAAACTGTGGTCCATCTAAACAATGCAATATTACTTAGCAATAGAAAGAAAGGAGCAATTATGCCACTGAAGGGCAGGATAGAATCTTGAATACATATTCTTAAGTGAAAGAAAGCATCTATACACTGTCTATACACGGCACCAATGTGATTGTAACACATTCAAGGCAAAACTACAAAAACTAAAATGAGATGTGGCCATCAGGGGTTTTGTGTGTGTGTGTGTGTGTGTGTGTACATGATAATTTAGTGTACATATGTGTCATTATGTATCTGTCCAAGTTGGCAGAATGTGTAGCACCGATGGGTTGACACCCACACTCAGGACAGGATGTTCTCTGGCCAGAAGAGACCTGAGGGGTGTACTCTGACGGGAAGACAGCATGGAAATGGCCACAAATCAGAGCTCAACAAGCCTCCAGCAAATAGGAAGTGAAAGGTGAGGAGAACTCAAGAAAATTTGAAACGACAAAAGCAATAAAATGATTTTGTTTTTTTCCTGCATCTTCTGATTAAGTATTCCCCGTCAAATCTAACTAATGAAATGAATGAACACACTGATTACTAGCATCAGAAATGAAATCAGTGATGCTGATACACATGCCACAGACATCAAAGGGCAAACAGACAGCAGTACCTATGATGTGCACGAATAACTACAGTTAAATTAAATTAATTAATGCTACATCAATGGCACGACTCCATCAATATAGAACAGACAATTTTAAGAACTTTAGCCCTATTATGGAAAAGGCAAACAGTGAACAGTTTTACTAGAAAACTGTATCAAAATTTTAAGAAGTAACACAAATGTTTACAAAAGATGAGTGAACACTCTCCCATTCATCTTATGAGAATAGTGTTAGCCTAATACCCAGACCAAAGACTGGATTAAATAAAAGCTGCATGTGCCAGTGTCCTACACACACACCACACCACACACACACACACACACACACACACACACACACACACACACTTAACTAAACATTCACAAACAAAATTCACACTTTATAAACATGATCTCACACACCCTGACAAAGTGGAGTTGACTTCTTCAGGGGTGCACAGGTGGTTCATTATTTGAAAAAAAAAAAAAACAATGAACATTATCAGTTCATACGAATAGGTACCAAAGAAAAATCACACAAAATTGGTATAGAAAATGTATTTAGTAAAATTCAACACAATTCATGATAAAAAAAAAAAAAAACTACCAGGAACATACGGATATGGTAGATCTTCCTTAACTTTAAAGGAGCATTTTATGGAAGGAAAGAAAACAACCCCATAGCTGATTTTATTCATGATCTTGAAGGACCGTCCTTTTCTTCTGAGAACTGGAACATGCCAAGAAATTCTCAGTCCCACCTTTATTCAAACTAGTTCTAGAAGAGATTATTCATATCAGTAATAGTTCAAGAAAAAGAAATCAAAAGCCAAAATATTTCCAATCTCTAGATTAAAGAATAAGAAATAAAACTGTCACGAGGCGTGGTGGCATAGGCCTAGGCAGGAGGCTGTGGAGTTCAATCATCTCTTAAAGCAATACACACAGGACTTTTCATGAATGCTCACTGCAGTAATAAACAAACTCAAAGGCAGTCTATAGGAGTGGAAATTTGAAGAAAGATGATTGTCTATATGATGTTCCTAGCACGCATGCATACCACTAAAGAGGGACGTGACAATGAATACATAGCCACATTTTGATTGGCTCAAGAAGAGTGTTGGGATGTAGGAAGGACGACGTGAACTCTCGGGGCAACCCAGGATGAGCTGAGAGGCGGCACACCTAGCTTCTGTTATCTCATGCCCCAGTTGCAAACAACTTGGAACCAATAGGAACTTCTTTCAATTAGAAAAGGATAAAGAGGGTCCGGGAGGCCCTCGGTGCTGTGGCAAATACCACCATCATTTCGAATGGAGCATCCTCCAGTGCTGCAATGGGCCCCAGAGTCACCTGCACAGCTGCCTCATTATAGCCCCAGTGTCCTGACAGGCAGCATCCTTGTGAGTCCAGAAAGACTCTGAAAGTGTGCCCTGCTCTCAGGACCCGCAGAATAACCACACACCCCTGTGGCAGCCTCATTAGCATGGTCGTCCTCGTCTTTGAGAAAGAAAACTAACCCAGCAGAACATCTGGATCTACAAATGCCTCAACTGTCATGACATCTGTCCCACACGGAAACCAGGAGACTGTTCCACCTCTTGAGATCTGTACCTACTGACCAGAGCCCGAGCGGCTGGGGCAATCCTCTTCCCTGGGGAGCGGAACCATTGGTCAACTGCTTGCCAAGCCCTGTAGTCCATGCCACAAGTGTGCTGTGGTATTCTCAGTTTTTGCTGTCATTATGTCCCACTTCACCGAGCCTAAGTTGCTGTTGTGTTAGGGTGTGGTTCAAATGTCCCGATGCCCTAGTTTCCACTGTGCTCTGCTGCTTCCCAGTCCCCAAAGGGACAAACCCATGTCTAGACCAAGAAGAAGGAAGATATTCAAGCAAAATGGGAGCTGGGGTATGACTGATTGAGAGATGCTGACTGCCTGCCACGCAGGAGTCTTGGGCTGGGTCTCTAGCCCTTTGAAAGGGACAACAAAGATGGCCTCGATCCAGTTAGATCAGATTAGGGATGGCAGGGAATGATATATCATAAATTTAATATCTGATAAGAAATTTCCAAATTCCTAGACATGCATACCTTACCAAGATTAAATCTTGATGAAATTAAGAACCCTGAACAGAATGATAACAACAAATTGATTCAGTAATAAAGCATCCTGAGACCAATGAGACGGCTCTGTGGATAAAGCACTTCCTGGGCAGACCTCATCCAAATTCAGTCTTTGGAACCCATGTAAAGACAGAAGGACAGAACCAGCTGCTCCAAGTGGATCTCTGACCCTCATGTGGTGTGGCATACATGCCTTCATAACACACACACACACACACACACACACACACACACAGAGAGAGAGAGAGAGAGAGAGAGATAAAAATATAATAAAAATAAATGTAAAGCTTTTAGTGTATGTATGTTTTAGAGAGTAAGACTCAGCAAGTTAGGGTACCTGGAAACCAGAGTTCAATTCCCCAGCCCTAAATAGTGGAAAGAGGGAACCAACTCCTGTAAGTTGTACACACATGGGATGCACATGTACACACACACACACACACACACACACACACACACACACACAAATAAAATATTTTAAAAGAATTTCATTAGTCAGATTTTTCCCTTGTTATGACAAATATCTAAGAAAATTTAAAGGGAAGAATTATTTTTTTCCTCATGATGCCTGTGATGAATATTTCACTTCCAAATCATAATGTTCTTCCTTTTAAAAAAAAGTATCAGACCAGATGCCTCACTGTTTCATCCTACCACACATCTACAAAGTTTATGGAAATTCTTCTTAAATTATACCAAAAAACTGAAGAGGGGAGACTGTTTCCAAAGGTATTGTCCAACTGAGAATAACCATGATAATCAAACCAGACAACAGTGAGAAACAGAGACAGGGATAAAGGAATTACCAACCAAAACTCTGAATGAACGTATGTGCAAAAATCCTAAAATACGCTGGCAAGGCACATCCAGCCACACATTTAAAAAGATTATTCATTATAATCAAACGTGATTTATTGAAGTGATGCAGGAATAGGTCAACATACCTAAATCAATAAATGGGACAAAACACAAAGGCATGGCCAAAAATTCTATATCCTTCACAATAAACCAGAACAAACAAGATATGGAAAGGGTGCACATCAGCATATTCAGGACATAGACAGGGCTATGTACAATAATCCAACTGAGAAAACTGGGAATTGATCTACCCCAAGACCCAGCCATACCACTCTTGGGCATATACCCAAGGAATGCTCAATCATACCACAAAGATACAAGCTCAACTATGTTTATAGCAACATTATTCGTAATAACCAGAACCTGGAAACAACCTAGGTGCCCATCAACTGAAAATGAATTAAGAAAATGTAGTACATATACACAATGGAGTACTACTCACCAGAGAAAAACAATGACAGCATGAAATTTGCAGGCAAATGGATGGAACTAGAAAATATCATCCTGAGTGAGGTAACCCAGACTCAGAAGGACAAACAATGGTATGCACTCACTTATAAGTGGATACTAGATATAAAGCAAAGGACAATCAGACTGCAACCCACAGATCCGGGGAGGCTACCTAGCAGGGGGGACCCTAGGATGACTGTGGCTTATAATAAGTTTTGATTTTGCCCAACCACTGGGCAAGCTTTAGTGAAACATTTCACTATTTAGAATAAAAAATATGTACCATATCAAGCTGATGAAAGAATATGCTGGCTGTACTTTCAGGAGGGGAGGCTAAAATCTTTTTAGATTATGGATTAGCCTATAGAAAAATGTCTGCTATAATTAATCCAACTGAGGGCATTGTATTAACTGTGAAAACTTTGAAAGCTTTCTCTGTAAGGACTGGAACAAGATGAAGATGGCCACTTTTGTTATTATTTTTATTAAGTATTTGAAGTTCTAGCTAAAGAAATCAAACAAGAAAAAAAATGCAAATCATCCAAATTGAAAAAGAAAAAAGCAAATTGCTACTAACTGTAGATGACATGATTGAATATACAGATAGCAGTAAGATTCAATAAAAAATATTTGGTAGGAGAAATACATGAATTTAACTTTTTTTCAAAAATCGTTTCTGGAAGGAGACTCTATCACAGGAAAAGTCAGCTTCAAGAACTACAAACGAGGGCTGGTGGGATGGCCCAGGCGGTGAAGGGTCCTGCCTCCAGGCTTGACAATTTAAGCTTTGTCTTTAGGACTTCCAGGGTAGAGGGAGAAAGGTGGCCCCCTTCGATTTTCTCTAACCTTCACATAGGGACCCTGGCATGCACGCATCCAGTTAGATGCACACACACACACACACACACACACACACACACACACGCCCCTTTTTCTAACTTAATTCTACTTATGCTGACATTTGTTTAATTTTACACGTCTAAATTTTACTGCAAACCAATGTATTGTTTGGTGGCTACTAACAAAGCTTTGAATTTGCATGTTGGGTCATTCTCGTGCCCATTTTACATTAATATGTCTTACACTGATATTTTTCCCTACCAGAATAATTATTGGGAATTGTTCACTATTGACATTTAAGAACAAAAAAGGACTTTAGAAGGAGCTAGGAAAAGGGAAGTGGCCCGGAGACGGTGGTGGGGTGGGGGACTCGGAGAGAGAACTAAAAGGTTGTGCTCAGCACCTGTCTATAGCCAATGCAATGGTTAACACACGCTCACCCTCAGACCCAAGCAATGAGTAGGGAACCTGGATGACTGACCTTCCCTTCTGAAACTGCGCCCTTGGGTGGCTCTGTCTTCACTGGCACGGTGATATGCAGGTATATGCCTTCCGAATCTGCAACAAGAATTTGTATTTTGTTGTTTTAATTTTTTTTTTTTTTGCTTTGGTTTGTTTCCCGAATCCATAATGGTCCCATTCCAGCCAGTGTTCCTGAGCGCACCCGGAGCCCTAAAGCAGTCAACAAACTTGCTTGCCATAAACCCACTCTCTTCCTCCATGCACAACTTCCGGTGACATTCTAACGATCCATTGAAAATGATGTAGATATAGGCAAAAGACACGCCGTTCAACCCGGCCACCCTGTTCCTCCTCAGAATCATGCTGAGACCCGTGTCTCTCGGGGGTCTGGGGAGCAATCAGAGGGTGCTGCATCTCCCTCCGCAGGATGCAGGGACCTAGGAAGACCAGTCGGATTTCCTGTTGTTGGTCCAGACACAAAGACAGAGCAGAAGCCGCCAGATTACCCAGGGTTCACCTGGCCCGGGCTGGGGTGGGGCAAGATGGAGGAAGGGCATCAGTAGGAATCCAGGAGCACAGAGGTATCCGCTCTCATCAGCTCTGGGGAAGCAAAATGGAAGGAGTGGGAGGCTCGCAGGGCCTTACCGAGGCGGGCTAACAGCATGGCAAGTTCGACAAGTGTGAAGAGCAGAGGCATGGTTGGGTCGGGGTGCAGAAAGCACAGCCGAGCTCCAGACCGTTGGCAGCCGCCGAGGGGCACGTGGGCAGCGTGGGAGACCGCCCACCCAGGGCGCGTCTGAGGCTCAGGGCCTCCATCTGGCACAGAACGGACACCAGCTTCTAGCTCAGGCCCTCGCTCTAGGCATAAAAGTACCAACAAGCATAGCTTGTCTTGCTTGGCTGTTTTTGTTCTCTCCACTTCACCGGTTTTCTGGCATTTTTCTTGTATTATGATGGAAGACGAAAAGCAAGCTAGAAATGACACTTATTATCAACACGACACAGAAGTAAATAGAACTTGATCTTGGCAAGGCAATCATAAAGCATAAAGCGCTCCTCTCCTCTCTCCCTTTCTTGCTGTACTAGCTTATGATTGGCAGAGAGAAGGAATGCAATGTCTGTTTTGTTAACGGTGACTATCTCAAGGTTTCTATTGCTGTAACAAAACACCTCCACCAAAAGCAACGTGAGAATTTATCTCGTCTTGTAGCTCAGCGTCCATCATCTAGGGAAGTGAGGGCAGAAACTCAAGACAGGAACTGATGCAGAGGTCATGGAAGTGCTGTTTCCTGGCTTGCTTTCCACAAATTGCTCAGCTCATTTTTTTATGCCGGGCAGAACAACCTGCCAGGGGCGGGGTAGCAACACCCACAGTGCTCTGGGCCCTCCCACCAATCATCAGTCAAGAAAATGTACCACAGGCTTGCCCACAGGCCAGTCTGATGGGGGAATTTCCTCAATTCAGAGTCCCTTTTCCCACAGGACTGTAGCTTGAGTCAAAATGGTATAAAACTGGCCAGCACAGTGAGACCGTTACACTTGGAAATTGTAGAAATGGGAAGGGCGGCCAGGCAAGGTGGCCTTGAGAAGCTACCAGCCTACAGAGAAAGAGATGTGCTACTACCTCCTACTTTCCCAAGGATGTCCAACTCTACACACACAAAGTCCCTCTCTCCTGCATCCATGGCTCTCTCAAACCTGTCACTGTAGCACATCTTCCTGTAAGGAGTAACAGTGCCAACAGCCACAAAAATAGTAAGCTTAGGTCACAGTGAAAACTGAGCCCTTTAGGTTCTGCTAAGAACTAAGAAATTTTTACTAAAATAAGGCAGAGTCATCGTTACCATAATCCAATATTAATGGCAGTGAGGAAAAAGGAAATGTATAATTATAAAGGCTGAATAATACTGTGTTGGGTGGATGTTCTACACTTATCCATTATCAGTTGAGGGGTATTTGAAAAAGGTCTCTGCGATGAAGCTTGGATTATCTTTGCTTTTAGCAAAGGCTCTGGGTCATGATCAAGCTTGATGTTGATGAACAGTACACTGGCTCAGGCATCATGGTCAAGGTGTGGAGATGCAGAGGGGAATTCGGACCATAAAGACTGCCGCAAGCTGGGCATTGGTGGCGCACGCCTTTAATCCCAGCACTCGGGAGGCAGAGGCAGGCGGATCTCTGTGAGTTCGAGGCCAACCTGGACTACAGAGTGAGTTCCAGGAAAGTCGCAGAGCTACACAGAGAAACCCTGTCTCGAAAAACCAAAAAAAAAAAAAAAAAAAAAAAAAAGACTGCCGCAAGAAAATCACACACAGAAAGCTTGGCTCTTGGCTTCAGTGAGCACACAGCAGAGTTCAGGCTCACCAAATGTTACGAACAAAATTCACTACAGACACAACACAACCCAAGACTAGGTTGGTGAACCTGCTCGTTTTTTTGGAGTTACTTGCAGGACCAAGGCAGCTACATCAACCAGATGGCCCATCTCTGTGAGCTTGGTCCTGACTCAGGAAAGCTACATCCCTAGAATTCCTTGCCTGGCTTATGGGCAGCTAAAGAGAACCCTCCTCTTCCTCAGCAATCACCTACTGCTTAATAAACACAGGGAGGGGCCTCTGAGCCTTGCAACCTCTGAAAGTGTACTTCCGGAGTCATCTGCTCCTCTTGAGTTTTATGAGCCTGGTTCCTTCCATCAGGAGGAATGTTTCAATTCAGAAATAGCCACACAACCCCAAATCCCAAGAAATATTCTAAATCTCAGCTTTCAGGGAGCCAAAGGGCCATTATCAATACCTCTAACCAGGAACTCAGTCTAGAAATTCCTTTTCAAAGGAGAAAGGATGCTAGTGACGGTTTGCAACCTATAGGAAGTGCTCCCATCCATCAGATCTCCCTCCGGGCATCCTGAAACTTGACCTGATAGAGCAGGGGAGTGATTGGAGAGGAACAGGTTGGAGTGCTTGCTTGCTCTTGGCTTTGCCCCTTGGGTGGGAGCAGCAGTAGATAATGAACTATCCGCAGCTTAAAATGCTGATCTCCTCGGTTCGAAGGGAAGAATCACCAGACACAAGTCTGTAGACTTTCAGCCATAGATTTTATTTGGAGGGATGTAAAACTGAAATCTGTAAGCCACAGAAAAAGAGATAGGCTGGTTCTTGTTCTTGGATCAGCCCGCATCACAGAGAGTTTCCTGGTGGAGTCCTTCTATCATTGTGGCTTCAGTGTGCCTAACTCCTGTTGTAAAAAACAAACAAAAACACACACAGGAAGTAGAAAAGCTTCATTCGCATCATAATTTCCATCATTATAAAATTTTCATTGTTATCAAAAAGCTACCCAGTTTATAGCAGGCAACTATAGGTATAGAAACTTCACTAACATAATAAATGAATATAATAAGTCCATGACTGTACTCTGGCCTTCTCTGTCTAAGATCCACAGCATTTGCAAGGCTACAGGTTTTTCCCCCCAGTTTGTTTTGTATTTAACCACTTTGCAGTGGTTACATGAAAAGGTCATGTCATCAGATGGGCTTCATCTATCTCAACTGCAATTTTCTAAACTTTACGTGAGTGAAAGAAAACCATCTGGAAGGTAAGTCCCTATTGCTGAAGACATCATGCTCTTCAGACACAGGCTCCTCCCCCCCCTTCCCACCCACCCCCGCCCCCCTAGGCTCGCCAAAACTTGCTCTTGCTGCTTCGGAATTATTTTGACTACACCACCATTCACATGTAGGTAAATGAAGTTTCTCATCATGACACCTAAAACCTGTTTGTGGTTTTGGCTTATGATTCATTTGTGTTTATTTTCTTTCTCAGTATTCATAAACTCATAAGTCAATTTTTAGAAGAGTAATAAGAAAACAAACTTTGGACACATAAAGGGTCTATAAATTTCAATACTGAGAAAACTATATTTTTATTTGTCCAACTTCTTGGTTCTTGTTTGCTGCTTTGGGTCTGTTGTTTGGAGGCGGTGGTGGTGGTGTCTTCCTGATGTATGTCAATACACATTATTTTTTTCAGTGTTTTTGTTTTATGTTTTTTTTAAAACAGGGTTTCTGGATTTTTCTGTGTAGCCCTGGCTGTCCTGGAACTTGCTGTGTAGACCAGGCTGGCCTCGAACTCACAGAGATCCACCTGCCTCTGTTTTCCCCGAGTGCTGGGATTGAAGGCGTGTGCCACCACCGCCCGGCTTAGAATGTGTTTGTTAAGGAAATACATTCACCTTCAAAACTTCTCCATGAGCTAGCCTTACTACCCCTAGTCTGAAACGGTAGAGTAACATCTACACTTGCACCCCTACCAAAGTAGACTATTCACAAAATAAAATGAAACAATCCTTTTTGAGCATTTAAAGCAGAAGTTTGAATTCTCGGTGGTACAGTGAGTCTTGCCTTTTATTCAAAGTGAGAGAGACGTGGATGGCCTCTAAGGACACTACTGAGGTTTTCTTCTCTTTCTTTCCTATCTGCTTCATGGCTTCCAGCTCTGTCAGCAAAACTGTCATCCTTGCCAGTAACCAAGCAATCTGGCTCACTTTCTCATCTGGGGTATTCATGTGTTGGAAGGCTACTCCTTAAAGTGTGCACCCAGATAATTCTGCGAGCTGTGTGTCTGCGGAGTACACACCGGCAGCAGACAGTTGCCACCTCTCCCACTACCTCTGATGTCATCTGGGTACCCGGTTCGAACATACTGCCAGGATATGGGCAAGGGGATGGGTGCTGAGATGTTTACAATTTTAAATAAGAAATTTCAGTCTTGCTCTGTCTCCCACTGCCCCACCCCAATGTGGAGTGACAGATGAGGATACAGCAATCTGCTTACTTAGTAGAGTCAGGTGTAAATCAATGGCAGATACGCAATTGGATGGATATTTGAGGTGATGCTTTGTTGAGCTTTGGAATTTTTCTATTTGTTCAGATGTGGTATATTAAATCTCCTTAATTTTATATAAGCAAAGAAAAATTTTGTAAAGTGTATGTGGATATCTCTTTTAACTTGTCTTATCATAAAAGAATTGTCTTTCTGGTTTGCAAGAAGTTGCATCCTGTCATCTCTTCCGGTCCTCCCATCAACGTAAATTCCACCCCTTGTTTCCAGGTATATTGTAGGGATTTGTGTGTCAAGTGGGTTCTGACAGAACTTGAGAGGCACGTGTGCCTTAAACTACACTGGCACAATTTACTGACATTCTGTAAGCATGAGGCATTGTTACAACTTCTTGTATCTACTTCTTCCTTTCAAAAGCAGAGTCACAATTCCCATAGAGTCTCAGTGATGAAGAAGAATGTGTAAATGTCAGAGGACAAGCTCCCGTGCATTTGCAAATTAGACGCTTAAATGAAGAGGTGTGTTTGTTTGTAAATGCTTTAAGAAAATACTGAAAATCCCTTTAAAGAGATTTCTTATAAAAATCTGATTGCTGGCAGTTTGCATTGAAGCTTTCCAAACCAATGAAAAGGAATACTAAGAGCAAATGCTTTCCGTTGGCCTTGTCGGGGCATGCAAAATGAGCGGTTAGGAGTCTGCATGAGGGGATACAGAAACAGCTCTGCACGCAGGCTGAGGGGCGGCTCTCGGCGTCTAGTTACAACATCTCGTCAGTATTTTGTCTTCAGTCACCTTTGATGCTGTCACTGGTGGCTGCCTTTTTCATTGTCTTCTAAAATCGATCTGTACAAAAAAGATAGTATTGTTCTCAGTATCATAGAACACTGTCGTTTAGGGGAAAAAAAGTCACAAAAAGTGTCAAGAGCCTGATTGAGGCTAAATGATCAATG